ATATATATAATTTATATGCCAGATATATCATTTATATCACCATTTATATGCCAGATATATGCCAGTTAAATAAGTTAAGAGTGGACACTTTTTTGATAAGGAGAAAAGGTTTGTTTCTCCCTACACAGGATGGGCTTCAGAAAAATCCTGGAACATTTTGAATCTGTGGTGACAGACCCAATCCTATCATGAAAACACAGTAAAGCTTCTGATAGTTGGTGTAGAAACTGCAGCAGAGAGCAGCAGATGCTTAAGGGATGAAGGGCAGGCAGGGTCCTGCACACAGTTGTCTTCTGAAACCTTGTTGTGACTGTCTGAGGCATCCTTCCCATTGTACTTTGATAAGACTGTCCTTGACTGTTCAGAGGAGTTGGGGTGGGCTGAGTTTCTTATTGCACCAAGTGTAGTATGGCCTGGAGTGTGTTTCTTTTAGATTACCTACCAGATCCTTGCAAAAATTGTACCCTGAAGGTAGAAAGTTTGAAAGCTAGGGTACTAAATCAGATGGCAGTATGGAACCGAATACTGTCTATTTCTCAAGTCCCTTTGGAAGTCAGAGTGACAGATAAGAGCTTGTTGAGTGAAGAGGAATTGATACCTTTGCCTTGCCAGTTCTTGAGATAATTGATAGCAGATACAGCACATGCCATTCAGCTGGCAAGGAGATCTGAAGTAGGGGGCAGTGCTGCATCTAGTCTGCACCCCTTGGTCATATTGCTCTCCTGTGCAACAGGTGCCTACTGACAAATGCCATCAGCTGTAAAGAAATGTATCTGCCTGCTTTGTAAGGCTGCACTAATGGAAAAAGGCTTTGTGATTCTGGCATCTGTAGTGGAAAACCCAGATGGTACCCTCCCTGCCAACGGGGCTCAGTCCACTTTTCAAGCCCCTTAGGATGAATCGATGATAAGGTCCCACCGCACTCTCACATAAAAGCTTATCCAAGTGTGCAGTAGGACCTTATCATTAAAGTGGGCCCAATCTGGTTTTCAGAAGGATTTGGTTCTGTCACTAACATTTTGTCCTTTTCCCCAAACTACAGTTCTGGGAAGTCATCAGCGATGAACATGGCATAGACCCCACTGGCACCTACCATGGAGATAGCGACTTACAATTGGAAAGGATCAACGTCTACTACAATGAGGCCTCAGGTTAGGTTCTATACATTTCAGAGCTCCAGAGACATCTCTCTTTGCCTGCTCCATTCTGTTCAAGATTAGCTCCTTTCTGCCTCACCTCTATCTCCATCCCCAGCATTACCTCATATCTGATATATTCTTTTTTAAATGGAAAAAAAATAAATTAACAGTTCCTTTTTGGTTCCTAAGTGAAACATGCCATTTGCTGAGCAGACGTACAATGTGGAGGTACAAGGAGTGGTGTTTCTGCCGTGCTTTACCCAACTTGTTTATTGCTTTATAAACTGCAGTTTCAGTTTTTGTCCAGGATATAGTCTATAACTCACTGTCATGCAATTCACTGTCAGCTCTGTCCTTTTTATGAATTCAACCATTTTCCTCTCCCTAACTTTAAATCTGTCAGTATCCTTGCTTAGCCCCTGATCACAGAATGCTCATATTGCAGTGCTACCACAATTAAACAGCCATAACTCTGAAAGCAGATCTTAATCAGACATAGCATGTTAGATTAAATGTGTTGGAATGTTTGTGGTTGCCACCAAGTGATTCTTAACCAAAGTTATTTTTTCTATCTAGGAGGCAAATACGTGCCTAGAGCTGTCTTGGTTGACTTGGAACCTGGAACCATGGATTCTGTAAGATCTGGACCTTTTGGACAGATATTCAGGCCTGATAACTTTGTCTTTGGTAAGGAACAATGTTGAGCTTCTATGCAATTACTGTCCAATCAAGTTAGACTAGAAATTTTGCATGTTGCAACTATCTCCTTTAACATGTTTCTTCACGCTCTTTTTTGTTTTAATTAGTTATTAATTTACAATTAATTACAAATCGGAAATAATATTTATAACAAATAGAACTACAAATCCAACATCCGTTGTTTAGAAATAAATCATTTCATTGTTACTGAACCAGATTTGCTTGACCTGCTGTTGAAAAAGACCCAATTCAAGAGTTGTCAGAGAACATGATATATATTGTTACCACTATTTCAAAGATGTGTATGAGTTACTTAGTGCTATTTTTTTTCCAGTGTTGAATAACAATTCTCTTTAGGCCGTGTCCGTAAGTCTTGACTGATATGAGGGTAGATTCCACACACACTGGGGTTACAACGTAATAACATCTATTGTTGTTAGTATGTTTCTACAATCCGGTGAAGTTCAAACTCAAATGGAACAAAAGTAGGACAGGCCAAGATCACAGAAATATTTCTGTATGAAGTTCCTAAGGTATTTAAACGTTGGCATGCTAAATAAACTCTAGCTCAAGTAAGCAAAGTGAAATACAGTTGCTATTAACTGATGGTGTAGTTATGGTGTCAGACTTGAACTAGGCTCTTGCACAACTAATAGCCCTTGGAGTTATTAGGATGCCATTTGCAGGTTGTTTCAGACCATTATGTAGATTTTTTTATGCACTGACCTGATCTGTATGTAGATGTTCAAAGTATTTTTTTTTTTTTTTTTGCTTTTCTTCTGCTTTTGCTTGGGGTAAAGAGGAGGAAGAACATTGAGATCTTGAGTGCATTTCTAGTAAATGCTAAACTGTATGTTGCTGTGGCCCAGCAGCAGCATTAATTATGCAAAAGCAACTCTTAATTTAAACCATTCTGTGTATCAGGTGTGCCTGGAGAAAGAAGCTAAAATAACACAGCAACACCTTCCAATTATTGCTATGCTAGTTTGCATTCTGCACACGTCGCAAAAGATTACACCATATCTAGAATTTGAATTGATTTGACAATGGAGGAGTATAAGTACTGTTCCATAATGTAGAAAGCATTTTTGGTGCAGTAGGACTGAGGTCGGCAACAATGTTTGTGGATACCTTCTTTGATGCCCACCAAGCTCCTGTCCCATCTGATTTTAGAGGTTAGATGCTTGGGCTTGAGTTCATTACATTAGCACTCTAGTACTTTTCTCATCTGGAGATTATTTGATTCTTCTGGTAACTCTAGCAGCTGAAGAAGTTTGTCTTGAGAAAAAAGTGCATGAGAGCAAGTGAAAATATCGTTTGTGGGCAAGCATTCATTGAACTCGTCGTTGCAAATGGCAAACAATGAACCAAATATCTTTATCCTCTCCCCCCCCCCCTTTCTGTTTCTTAGGGGAAAACGGGGCTTGGGGCAACAGGGGCACGGGGCACTATACTCAAGGAGCTGAGTTGGTCGATTCTGTCCTAGATGTGGTAAGAAAGGAAGCTGAGAGCTGTGACTGTCTCCAGGGTTTTCAGCTTACCCACTCTCTAGGTGGGGGCACTGGATCAGGGATGGGCACCCTGCTGATCAGCAAGATTCGTGAGGAATATCCAGACCGCATCATGAACACCTTCAGCGTGGTGCCATCACCCAAGGTTTCAGACACAGTAGTGGAGCCTTACAATGCTACCCTCTCAGTACACCAACTGGTGGAGAACACAGATGAGACCTACTGCATTGACAATGAAGCTCTTTATGACATCTGTTTCCGTACCCTCAAGCTAACAACTCCCACTTATGGAGACCTTAATCACTTGGTCTCTGCTACCATGAGTGGTGTAACAACCTGCCTCCGCTTTCCTGGCCAACTCAATGCTGATCTTCGCAAGTTGGCTGTGAACATGGTTCCCTTTCCTCGCCTCCATTTCTTCATGCCTGGCTTTGCCCCTCTGACCAGTCGTGGCAGCCAACAGTACCGGGCTTTGACTGTGCCAGAGCTAACACAACAGATGTTTGATGCCAAGAACATGATGGCAGCCTGTGATCCCCGTCATGGGCGTTACCTGACAGTAGCAGCTGTCTTCCGAGGCAGGATGTCCATGAAGGAAGTGGATGAGCAGATGCTGAATGTTCAGAATAAGAACAGCAGCTACTTTGTGGAATGGATCCCCAACAATGTCAAGACAGCCGTGTGCGATATCCCACCCCGTGGCCTTAAAATGGCAGCCACTTTCATTGGCAACAGCACAGCTATCCAGGAGCTCTTCAAGCGCATCTCAGAGCAATTCACAGCCATGTTCCGTCGCAAGGCGTTTCTCCACTGGTATACGGGTGAGGGCATGGATGAGATGGAGTTTACAGAGGCTGAGAGCAACATGAATGACCTGGTCTCAGAATACCAGCAGTATCAGGATGCTACTGCTGAAGAAGGAGAATTTGAAGAGGAGGCAGAGGAGGAAGTTGCATGAAGATCTCTCTCCTCTCCTCTCCTCTCCTCTATTCTATTCTACTCTCCTCTATTCTATTCTACTCTACTCTACTCTCTCTTCCTGCCCATTACTACTC